CGTCCAGGCACGCAGGGCTCTGACGTGCTCTGCTGTCCCTCCCTCGGGGGCCCGGTCTGGGTCCCGGCCTAGTCCCTGAACCCCCTCTCCTGGTAGCGTTGCACCGAGCCATCTTGGTGGTCCTGCCCCTAAGCCTCGTCCTCATTGTGTGCGGCTGGATCTGTGGCCTCCTCAGCTCCCTGGCCCGGAGCATCTCTCTGCTGCTCTTCACCGGCTGCTACTTCTTGCTGGGGGGTGAGTCCGGGGGCTGTGGGGGCCACAGGTCCTGGGAGTGGGGTGCTGCCTGTCTCACTGACCCAAGCCCTGGCTGCTCTGAGCCTAGGCCCACCCTGGAGATTGAGCTGCAGCAGGTGAGGTGCCCTGGGTGGCCCTGGGGCCTTTGAAGGGGCGCGGATGCTGAATGTGGGGCTTGAGCCAGGGACGGGAGTCAGGAGCCTGAGTTAAGCTGCCAGGGGCAGGAGGCACGAGGGTCTCCAAGGTAAGTCCAGAACCTGCCCTGCTGGACCTGCGTGAGGGGGGGTGGGACCAGTCCGCATCCGTTTCCCTTTTCTTCCAAGATCGTCCCGATGAGGGGGCAACATGGGTGGGGGTGTGGCATCACCCAGGCAGGGCTAAGCATTAGACAGGGTGACATGGGGCCTTGGATTCCTTGGCAGTGACCCCCAGCCGTGCCAGGTCCGGACTTAGACTAGTAACAGTGCGTACACTGACATTCATCTAGCCTGCAGGCACTGGGCCAAGCCCTCCCTCAGGGATGCAGCGACGGATGCAGGCCCTGGGTCACAACTTCCTGCTGAGATGTCGGAGGATTCCCGGAGCTCAGCAGGAAGCTGGTCCTGGAATCCTCATCGCTGCCTTTCGGGGCCATCTGTCCCAGCCAGCCACCTGGTGTCCCCAGCTGCCCAAGGCTGGCCGTCATTGACCATGGGCTGGAGGCTCCTCAGGTCAGTCCTCAGTGGCCCCTCCCACCCAGGGCCAAGGCCTGAGCCACATCTGGCATCCTGGGCCGGCTCCCTTGCCAGGGCTGCGGCAGGGGGACCAGACCACAGTGTCTGGGGCTCCCTCCTGGGCAGGCCTGCCCTCCCCAGGGGTTGCTGGGCCCTTTGGGAGGCCTTGGTCAGGAGGGAGTTGGTGCCAACTGCCAGGGGGCCCAGCAGCCTAGGTGTGTGGTTCAGAGAATGAGAACAGGAGGAATCAAAACATCAGCCCTAGCCTGACCCCAGAGACTGTGTGTGTCCAAAATCCAATTAAGAGGACCTTGGGACGCCACTGAGAGGAGTAATTGGGTGGGATTGTAACCAGGAAACCTGATGGTGACAGGAAACCTTGGCATTGTACTTGGAACCAAGGCACCGGGCCAGTGGGTGGAGGGAGAGCCTGGAGGCAGCGCTAGGGTCATTCCCTCTGCTCCAGGGAGGGCAGGCAGTGGGCCGGGTTCCAGGAACACCCCATCTGATCACCTGCGCCGGGCCTGGACTGGCCGCACCTCTGGTTTCTTTGCATGGCAGGCTCCTGGTAGAAACAGATCCCCTGATGTCGCTGTCAGGAGCCTGCCCAGGGGGCTGCAGTGGGGCCAGGGACCCAGTCTGGGGGCTTGGAGTCAGGACTGTCACACCAAGGGGACCTTTGTGAGGCCAGATCTCCCTAATCCCCCCCATTGTCACTGCAGAAGAGGGAGGGACACGGAGGGTTCTAGGTCACTGTTGGCTGGGCCCTGAGCTAGGGGCCTGGGGCCATATGGAGCCTGGGGTGATGAGTTCCACGTGGCCATCACCCAGCTCAAGGCTCCAGAGCCAGCCAGGGGAGAGGCCTGAGTCATCTCAGGAGGTCTGAGGTGCAGAAGCGGTCTGGCATGAGGCAGACCTGCGCGCCTCAGTCCCCAGGAAGAGTCAGGTGTTCCAGGTCGGGGTCCAGCTTGGGAGCTTACTCTGGCAGAGCAGCGGGTCCTGCCCAGAGCCAGGCTGGACCGAAGTAGCTGGCAGCTTGAAGAGATGTGCTCAGCTGGTGGGGCGGCCTGGAGGACGGGGGGACTTGTCTGGGAGCTCTGACCACTGTAGGCTGAGACAGACACCTCTCTTTCTGGGGCCTCAGCTGCACAGTTCCCCGAAGAAGCCTGAGAGATGTGTTCAGCACCCCCTCCCCCACTGGGCACTGACCCCAGTCCCAGAGCCCTGCAGTTGACTTGGCTTCACAGCTTCCCAAAATTAAATCCATAACTTCTGTGGTGGCTCCACCCAGCGCCAGGCTGGTGGAGGCCAGTCCGTCCTTCCCATCATTGGTCAAGTGAGGGGTCCCAGAGGACCTGACTAAGAAGCAGGCAGTGTGGGGGTGCCCAGGGTCTGCCCCTTCTCTGGGTCCCAGTGAGATGCAGACCTAGCCCTGAAGGTCTGCCTCGTGCCTTAACTGGGCAGTATCCGGAGGGAGCGCCATGCACCCAGGAAGTGCCTTAGGGGGTCTCAGGACCCCACCTACATTCCCTGCAGCTGGCATCAAGGGTAGGCCCTGACATCTGCCTGCAGCGGTGGGACGGAGGGTGGCTCTCTGGGCTGTTCCCCCTGAACCTGGGTGGACAGGCAGATGTCCTGGTGCCCAGCTCTTTGCTTGCCCCCAACCCTCCAGGGTCACCGTGCACTAGGCACAAAGCCAGTCTTCTTCCTGCAGAGATGCAGGGCTGGAGAGAGGAGGGTGTCCTCATCTGGGGACGGACCGGGGTCATGGGATCCGAAGGGAGGGCCTGAAACTCAGACCTGGGGAGGGGACAGGGCCTCTGGAAGAGGGACACTGAGCTGGGGTCAGCAGGGGAGGCTGTGGGCCAGTGAAGTGGGGAGGGGGAGCTGCGAGGAAGAGGGAGCCGGAGGTGCAGGTCAGGGGCCTGGCTCAGGATGTCTGGCCAGAGCTCCAGAGCTCCTCCCACCCTTCCCGGTGCCCAGTAGAGGCACCAGCTNGTCTGAGTGTGTGTGTGCGTGCGACGTGAGTGTGTGGCGTGTGTGTGTGTGGCCATGTGTGTGTGTGGCCGTGTGGTGAATGTGTGAGTGTGTCTGAGTGTGTGTGTGGCCGTGTGTGGTTGTGTGTGTGTGTGGCCGTGTGTGTGTGTGGCTGTGTGTGTGTGTGTGTGTGTGGCTGTGTGTGTGTGTGTGTGTGTGTGTAACTCCAGGGGCGATGGGAGAGGGCTGTGTATGCAGGGGTATTTATGTGAGTTGGGGGCGTATTTCTGTGAGTTGGGGGTGTAGGTAGTGCTGTTTGCAAGGGGATTTTGTAGGGTGAGGTCCTGAGGTTTGAGGACTGAGTTGGAGCCTCCATCCTCCCGAAGGCCAGTGGGCAGAGGCCATGTCTACAGGACAACCGTGCTGGGGTCCCAGGTGGGGCCGGCACCCTCAGCAGGCAGAGGCACTGAGCAGCCACTCTGCACCTCCTCCCCAGGCGCCCTGACCCTGGCGGGGGTTGTCATCTCCATCAGCTACTCACAGCTGGCCTTGGCAGAGACAGCCCGCCAGCACGGCCCCCAGCACACGCAGGACATCCGCATCTGCTTCGGCTGGTCCCTGGCCCTGGCCAGCGGCTCCTGCTCTGCGGGGTCGCTCAGCGGCGCCCTCCTGCTCGCAGCGGCCCGAGCCCTCAGCCTGGGCAGGCAGCCGGGCGCCCCGCACTCTGTGGTCATCTGAGTCCCGGGCAGGCAGATGCGGCGAGAGGGGCTCCATTTCCCTTTGCACCTCCTGGGGCTTGGGGTTGCCAAGCCCGGCCCTGAGAGGCCACGGGAAGGAGGCTGGGAGCCCTGTTCTGATGGCCGGGCTGGAGACCTCGATGGGAGCCGGGGGGCGGGTAGAGCTGAGAATCCAGGCTCCTGTTGCTTGATGTTTGGGGGATTCCCCTGCCCATTGTGCCTTCAAGGACTAACTGGTTTAGCCTCTTCTTAGAGGTGAGAAAGGTGAGACCCAGAAAGTGGGAGCAAAGGGACCAGGGACGATGGCTGTGGTGGTCGAGGGGGCAGGGTGCTGCAGGCTCCTGGCTGCTCAGCGGCTCCCCTTGCCTCTCGAGGCTGTGGCCTGCATCCGCCCCTCCCCACCCGTCCTGGTGGGCCACAGCTGCCCCCAGTCAGGGACCTGCGTCAGGAGGAAAAGCTGCCCCCATCCTCAGAGGGGGCAGTCCAGAGAGAAGCAGATATCCATCAAACACTCCGTGCCAGGCCCTCACCAGGCCTTCCGTGCCGTGTCTGTCCTCCCCCCGTCCCTCCCCAGGGAAGCTGTTGGTGGGGACTGAGGACTGGGGGGCCTCTTGGATTTCTGGGTGCAGGGGGAGCAGAGGGGGGTTGGGCACACCTCTGCCCCCCTTGTTTTCAGGTCTCTGTCCTTGTCCTGGGGCTGGTGCTCCGGGACCCCATCCTCATTTGTAGTTCCCAGAGGGATGCCTGTGGTCCCATGTGGGCCCCTGGGCAAGCGGGTGTGGAAGTCCTGTGGGGTGGGGGAGCCATGCCAGGGTGGAGAGTGAGGGGCTTCTCTACCAGGAGGGGCGGCTGCCCGGAGCAGCAGAAGCCAGAGCCTGGAATTTTGGCCGCAGGCTTGTGGGATGGAGGCAGACCCAGGCCCAGTGTGCCTCTAAGGGCCAGACAGACGAGAAGGTGGCGGCCCACCCATGCCTGGTCACCGTGGTCTGTGAAGGCTGAGGCTCCCTCCACTCTGGGCAGGACCTGAAGACCTGCTCAGCGTTGGTCTCAGGCTCAGGGCCCTCGAGTCTGAGGTGTGTGCGGGGGTCCATAGTGGCCTTCCCCCTCTTGGTCTTTCCCCTCCCCCAGTCTCCCTTTATGGCTGGAGGCGGGGTGGTTTGGTTACAGGAAGCTCGGGGCCATGGGGGGGCTGGTACCATTTGGGGAGTCCCACTGAGGGATAAAGAGTAGGGGATGGGGGGTGGGAAAGGGGATGTTAAATGCGGGCTTCCCTTCCTACCTGTGTTTTAGCATTTAACATTGTGCCAATGTGTCCAGAAATAAATCAGCTTGTTCTGTGTGCAGTTAAACCTTTATTCACTTAAAACCTCTCAGAATAGATAATACATACACATGCCTTACAAACAGTGTGGGGGAAACCCTGTCACCAGGTCTGTGTGTCTGTCTGTGTGTCCATCCAGAGACATCCTGTGTGTGGTCTGTGTATCCGTCCATCCAGAATCGTCTTTGGCAGACATGATGAGCTCTTTATTTTCGGCTGGCACAGGCAGGGAGGACCCCCGAGGCCTGACGTTGGTTCCAGGGGCTGGCTTTGTGGGCAGGTCCTCTCAGCTTGGGAGGCTGTCACCTGACCTCTCCCACAGAAGCTGGGGGTCAGCAGTGTCAGGGTTTAACCCTGGGCCTCTCTGCAGACAGGCTTGGCCTCTGGGCACAGACAGTGAACCAGACACACACCGGTGAACCTCGGATCCCAGAACTCACCAGGGTGGGTGGGGGCACTTGCCCCTTCCCTCTCTGGAACAGACCTGGCCATGATTCAGAGAGGCCAGCCCAGGTGAGCCTCAGTCTCAGCTTGGCCAAAGTCCACAGTGGGTGCTTCACACTGGCCCTGGTCCTAGTGCAGTCTCCACTGCGGCTTCCTGAGACGCTCCCGGAACTCCTCTCCCTAATTCCTGGACCACAGAAACCTGACAATAATAAAAGGATTATCACTAAGGGGGAGTAATTTGTTACCAAGCAATGGATGGCAACCTACTCCAGTATTCTTGCCTGGAGAATCCCATGGACAGAGGAGCCTGGCAGGCTGCAGTCCATGGGGTGGCAAGAGTCGGATAGGACTTAGCAACTAACCTCACCTCAGTTCAGGTGATTACTATTACGGTAGATGTTTACAGGGCGGGGCAGGGCGGGGCAAGGCAGGAGACACTGCGGAGGTTTAGAGTTGCTGGTTTTCTTCGGATTCTCTGTTACTGTCACCTTCTCACACAGGAGAGTGATCCTGGGGCCTTGGGGAGTCCCGGATGCTGCATTTCCGAGTATAGACAGATCTAGATTCTTCTAAGGAGGGAGGCAGGGACTTCCCTGATGGTCCAGTGATTAAGACTCCAAGCTTCTATTGCAGGGGGCACGGGGAACTAAGATCCCACATGCCATGCAGTATGGCCAAAAAATAAATAAATAAAAATAAGGGAGGGAGGCAAAGAAGGGCAGTCCTCAGCTACAGGCTTCCTTGGCCCACCAGGGATGCCTTTTCTCCTGTGGCTCAGACTTACCTCCGTGCCTCCAGTCCAGGTCCTCTCCTAAGCACCATGCCTACACTTCTGCTTCTGGCAGCTTCTAACTACTCCGGGCTAAAACGACATTCTTAAACTGAAGTATCCTCTACCCTCACAAAGCTATTCCTCCTCCTACGATTCCTATTAAGGGTTTTCTAAAGCACTAATGTATATGCAGATGACACCACCCTTATGGCAGAAAGTGAAGAGGAACTAAAAAGCCTCTTGATGAAAGTGAAAGAGGACAGTGAAAAAGTTGGCTTAAAGCTCAACATTCAGAAAACTAAGATCATGGCACCTGGTCCCATCACTTCATGGGAAATAGATGGGGAAACAGTGGAAACAGTGTCAGACTTTATTTNTCAAAAGTATATTTTGTCCAGGTGTTCTGGTTAACCTCAGCAGAGGCGTGGCATAGATATATTCTTTTTATTTTATATTAGAATGTAGCCGATTAACAATGTGGTAGTTTCAGGTGGACAGCAGAGGGACTCAGAGGAGGGTGGTCTTAACCACCGAGTCTAAATCACCCCAGGAGTCGCTTGAAAGGAGATCCAGTCCCAAATTATGTGCAGTAATGACATTCATTTGTAAGCAAGAAGAAACTTATTGTTTAAAAAGTCAGACGATTGCCAAGGTAAAGCCCCAGCCCCCCACCAGGCCACCCCCGCCGGTGTCCCTTTCTGTGTCCTCTCGTTCTTCCTCCTGCTGGTCCCCGAAATGCTCTCATGCCCCTCGGGCTGTGGCGGGTGTCCCACCTGTCCCAGCATGCTTGGGCCCCCATCCCAGACACAGCAGCACGTGGGGTCTGCTGAATGAACAGGTGGGAGGCATCACCCCGCATGTGACGGAAGTGAGGGGGTCCCAGGAGACCAGCAGAGGACGGGGTGCCGTTTTACTGCCTCTCCTTCCGCCTGCTCGCTGGAGATACCTGCCCTCGTCAGCTCCGTCCATCCTGGCCAAGGCGCAGGGTCCTCAGCACGAACGCCCACTTTCCCAGCGCCAGCTCTGTGTCCTGCGCGGAGACGTCCCGGTGCCACACGGCGCGCACCAACCGCTCCGTCCAGGGGAAGACCAGCACACGCACCGCGCGGCCGGTCTGGGCCACCTCGTCCGCGCTCACGGCCTGCAGGCGCCGGCACAGCTCCTCGGGCGGCAGCCCGTCCACTCTCACCATCACCATGTTGGTCTCCACGGCGGTGGGATCCACGGAGCAGACGGGGGACGCCAGTTCCTGAAGCCCTGGGCCCAAGTCCTGCGGTGAGTTGAGCCCAACCCCAGGACTGTACGGCTACCCCTACGACCCCGGCCTTGTCACCCAGGAAAGGCAGAGGGCAGCCCAGCCATGATGGGAAGAAAGGAGGGAGCCTTAGTCCTGACCTGGGCAGACTTGGCCCTGCAACTTTTTAGCTGTGACCTTGGACACATTAGTGGTGGCTCAGACGGTAAAGAATCTGCCTGCAGTGTGGGAGACTAGGGTTCGATCTCTGATTTGGGAAGATCCCCTGGAGAAGGGAATGGCAACCCACTCCAGTATTCTTGCCTGGAGAACCACATGGACAGAGGAGCCTGGTGGGCTACATTCCTGGTGGGCTTGCAAAGAGATAAAAACTGAGTGACTAACACTTTCTTTAGACAAATCAATTAACCTCTCAGTTTCCTCATCTGTAAAGTGGAGACATTGTGGGGTTGCTGTGAAGACTCAACCTAGGTTAAAGGCTACATTCTGCCGGATCTGCCAAGAATTACTGAACCCCACTGGGTGCCTGCTAGTCCAGGCCCTGCATGGGGTGTGGTCTGGTAAAGCCCTTGAGTTCCCTGGATCCCACCCCTCCTGGTTCGGCAGCTGACCTTCACCGACTTGAGTTGGAGGGATGCACACCTGCTGGGGACTTGGGCCCTGCTACAGGGGACCCGCAAGGCACCACCCTGGGGCCAAAGGGAAGTGGTGGGGTGTCCAGGCACCTTTGGCAAATCTCTGGGCATTCTGGTGGTCCCTCTGCAGCATCTCCTCGGCGTCAGCCAGTCCCACCAGGGCAGCTGCGGCCAGCACCCCAGCCTGGCGCATCCCTCCACCCAGGGCTTTCCGAAGGCGCCAGGCTTCTTCAATGAAGTCCTTGGGTCCCCCAACCAGGGCCCCCACTGGTGCACCAAGGCCCTGAAGGAAGAGAGGAGGCCTGCCCACCTGCCCATGGTGTGCATCTCTGTTCTCGGGGCTCGGGAGGGGGCAAGAGGGATGTGGAGGGGCAGACACTGTGGCCTCGTTAGGGGAGGGAGTTAGAGGACCCAGGGTGAGTAGCTGCCTCCCCAGGAGCCCCAGGACACAGCTCAGCCTCCTGCAGTGGGCACCTCCACCCTCCTGTAGCTTCCCTACCTTGGAAAAACAGAGAGACACAGAGTCACAGTGCTCCATGATGTGGGCCGGGGGCACGCCCAGAGCCACCGCGGCATTCATCAACCGTGCCCCATCCAGGTGGACACGGACCCCATGGCTTCGGGCCAGCAAGTGCACCTGTGGGCAAGATGCAGGTGGAGTCAGAGGGGCTGCGCTGGGGGGAGGATGGGTCTCCAAAAGGTCAATAGAGAGTCACTGGGCTTGTCTCCTGGAGGAAGCACAAGGGGTCTGCGTGGTTGGTGACCAGCTTGGCCATCTGGAACCCGAGCAGTCACTCTGGGTCTGGGCCCAGGCTGTCCTCTGTGAAAGGGGCTCAATGATAAGCGCTTTATCTCCTGTTTATGGTGGGCTCACTGTAGGCCAGGCCACGAACACCTCATCCTGTCTCAGCAGCGCCACAGCCACCTTGGAGGGGAGCCCTCAGCCCTGTTTCCCAGGTGAGGAATAGGTCTGCAGGGCAAGCTGGCCCTCAGGTTCTCGCGGGGAGCGTGGCAGCGTTCAGCCCTCGCACTCTGGCTGTAAGACCCGGCCAAGCTGGTGCTGCCTGGGGACTCGCCCCAAAGGGCGGGTCTCTGCTTTTTGGAGGAAGGTTGGGGCCCTGGGGACTCTACACTGGGCCACCATTCTCTTTGCAGCTGCACCTAGAATCACACCCGTGTCTCCCAGAGCAGTTCTGGCCACTGATGGGCACCCAGACATGTATCAGAGGAGACTAAACCCCAGCAGGGGACCCAGGGGACAGGAAGCCAGTAGCTGGCTAGCAGTGGGGGCAGAGTGGTGGGGCTGGGCCTACCTGCCGTAGGTATTCCAAGGGGAGGACCCGGCCCCCTGAGCTGCTGTGGGTGTTCTCCAGGCAAATGAGCTCACAGATCGGATGGTAGGGGCTCCCAAGGCTCCGTGTGACCAGCCTCTCCAGCTCAGTCAGGTCCAGGGTGCCGTAGGGCAGGTCTGGGAGGGGGTGGGAGTGCACCCCTGCGATCTGCAGGTGTGGGGTGGGGGGGCAGAGGATAAGGTCCAGGGGTCCAACAGTACCTCCTACCCCTGTTTTGTCTGCTCCTCCCCAGCTCTGGGCCGTGGAGGCTTCCGCCTGAGCTATGGACCTGGGCACAGACGTCCCAGCGAAGTCGGGGAAAGATGGAAGACACCATGTTTGCTGTCCCTCCGGCCTGAGCTTCCGGTGCGCTGAGTGCCCACTAGGGGGCAGCAGGGTGCCGAGTGCAGCCAGCTTACAGGCTGCCGGACTGAGCCCAGCCTGCCCCTGTGTGGTCAATCTGGGAATGGCTCTCCTTCCTGCCTCCCCCAGAGAAGCCACCGTCCCAGCCATTTCTCCCTCTGCAGGTCCCAGCCCTGTGCCAGGGAAACAGGTTCCCACCACAACTGTTGAGCATCCTGTGCTGGCCCCAGGGTGAGAGGTGCTGGGTGCTTACCTGAGCCACCCCGCCCTGCTCATAGACATGGATGTGGCATTCGTGCCCCAGGAGGAGCTGGGAGCCCCGGCGCCGGCAGTGACACATCACTAAGGTAGATGGGGTGGGGGCAGTGTTGGGACCAAGTGCTGGCAGACTGCATCTGCCAGCTGCAGCCTGTGGTCTCGGTGGCCGCACATGTGGGTCCAGGGGGTCCTCAGTCAACCCTCTGCACCCCACCTCCTCCTGGGCCATGTCCTCTCCCCGTCTGTCCCCATCCAGCTCAGCCAGGCTTGACCCTCAGGGCCACCGCCAGCTCCCAAGTACCTTATGCCAATTAGGAGAGAGCGCCCCTTTAAGACACCTTCCTGCCTTGTGCTGGAAAGCATCCTACCAAGTCCACAAGTCTAGGCCTGTGGATTATTGGGCCCTGCACACTCTGTATCGCCCCCCCCCCCCCATTCTCTGTAGCCCCCCTGCAGAGTACCTCCTGTAAGGGGAGGCCAGCCACAATGCTCCCCTTTGAGGGCCCAGCATCAGTCAGAGCCCANACCCAGACCTCACACCTGTCTGACTTCCTTTCCCATCGGTCCTTTGCAGGTGGGGCCCTGTGGTTTCTCTGCTGACTTCCTCTCCCAGAACAGGAGGACTGGAGCCCTCAGGAGACTCTAGGGGGCTAGAAGGGGGCGGGGCTTCCGGCTCCTGCTTTAAAGCTCCCCTTCCTTTGCCATGACATTCAAGACTGATGGGATCGGGCCTCTGCCTCCCCTCCAGGAACAAGGGTGAAGTCCTACACCCCAGCTCCAGCCACATTGCCCATCCATATCCTGAACACCTTTCTCACCATGTTTCTGCCCTGGTGAGCCAGCTCTCTTTTCCCTGCCCAGGACTCGGGGTGGAGCATTTCATTCATCTTTGAAGAGGTTCCTCCACAAAGTCCCCCTTTCCTGTGAGTCCCATGTCTCCTTTCACCCACCCCTGGCCCCCAACGCACTCTCTGTGGATGCTTTAACCCCAGCACCTCCCTCACCCAGTGGGGACGACCGTCTATGCATCAGGCTACCTGCTGAGCAATGGGTCAGCATCTTTGAAGTTCCAGGCCAACAGTGGGTGTCTGCTGGATGCTTGATCAGCCCCATCATGACCTGACCCCACATCCAGGCCCTCAGGGCTAAAGTCACGACCCCACGACTTGCCCCTGGCACAGCTGATAGTTTGTACACACCCCAGCAATAGTAATGGCTCACTATGGCAACAACCCTCAAATCAGGGTGGGTGGCAACTTTCAACCATCTTGAAAACACTTTCGAGGTTTCTAGAACTCACTCCTCTGGAGGAGCAGCCTGTGGAGAAACCCTTTTCTAGATGGGTTTTCTTTTGTCTTCATGTGGGAAGGTGGTGGGTGCAGGACAATAGCCAAGGGTTCCAGAGTGAGAAGACCTGAATTCGAGTCCTGCTTTTGAGCACCTGGCTTAGCTTCTCAAAGCCCTCCTCTGCAAGAGAAGATAACACCCGTTCTCATCGTGTCGTTGGGCCGCACTTCAATGAGCACACAAATCGCCCGGCGATCCTGTTAACTTGCAGATTCTGGCTCCGAAGGTCCGGTGTGGGACCCGAGACTCTGCATTTCTAACAGGTTCTCGAGTGATGTGTCAGACTGAGCTGCAAGGGAACCGAGCGCAATGAACGGCCTGCAGCTGAGCCGCCACCCCGAACCCCTGACCTCCGCTCCCACCAGCACCACGGACAGCGCCCTGGGGTCGCCGCGAGGACCCCCGGCTCCGGCCTGCACGCCGGGCTCACCGCGGACGGTGGGGTCCTCGCCGTAGTCGTCGTCCCCCACGACGGCCTCGGCCATGGCGCGCCTCATGGCCGGCCCGGGCTTGGTCACCGTGTCGCTGCGCAGGTCCACCACGTACGTCGGAACCTCCGCCAGGCTCCCAGACCTCCGCGCCCAGAAGACCCGCTGCCGCGGGGTCGCGGCCCGGGCCAGTCTGCGGAGCATGGCGGGGATAGTGCCGGGCCCCCCAGCCCCGATCTTCCTCGGCTGGATCGGAGCGGCAGGATTTCCAGACTTCGGCCGCGAATGACCTGGGCCGGCCGTAGGTCCCCCGAGGCATGCTGGGAGTTGTAGTTCAGCTTTCGTCGCGGCGAACACTGAGCACACTCCCGATGCATCCTGGGAGTCGTAGTTCTGCTTTCGCCGCGTTCAGCTCCGAGCGAACTTGGGCTGAGGGAGAGAGAGGAAGGGTTGCGCTTACTCATGAAGAAACAAAGGCCAGGCAAGTGTTTATAGAGCAGACGCTCATGTGCCTTTTACCGTGTGTCCAGGACTGTCCCAGACACCTTACAAGTGTTAAAGCAGTTAAGCCTCCCAAGAGTTCTCAGTTGACAAGTGTTAGTTTCACCCCATTTTACAGGTGGGGAAACTGAGACGCACAGAGCCAATGAACGTGCCTAAGGTCGCCTGGCCGGGAGCGTCCAGCTCTAACTGCACTGTGCTATGTTGCCCCGAAAAAAGTAGCTTCCCATCATCTACTTTTTTCAATACAGATTTATTGAGCAACTTTTTGGTGTCAGGCATTGTCTGGGTGCCAGGCAGAGGGATACAAAGATGATCCGACTTCGGGGGCATAATGAAGGTGGAATTAGGGGGTGACAAAGAGTCCCCTCCTCCGTACCCCCCTGCCCTTGGCTGGGGGGGCTGCCTCCACCCTGGGCCAGTGTCAGGGTGGGGGTGGGGAGTGGTAAAGGGCCCTGACTGACTCAATTCCCCACTTAGCAGGTGGGCGGTTTTGGACAAGTCAATTAACCTCTCTGTGCCTCAGTCTCCTTAAATGCAAAATGGGCTGTTTTGAGGATTTGATGACTTAAGGGTTTTTTGTGCTGAGTCTGGCGCCTGGCTGGTAGTAGATGCTACAGATGAGTGTTTTTCTGTCTTACTGTTGCTGTTTTATTGTGGTTACTGGTCACAGCCCAGGGCGCTGGGGTTGGTGCTGCTGCTGTGGGGTGCAGCCCGTCTCCGCCTGGACTGGGCCTTCTGCAAGGTTGACCGTCCCTCAGCCAGGGAGGACAGGCCTCTCTCTGGGCGCCCAGCTCCACTAGTAGCTCCCCTTCCCCAAGTGTGGGCCACAAATGTCTCTTCCTCATGGGAGGATACCGGTCCCTAAGGGCTGAACGTGACCAGAAGAGGCACCCACAGCTCTGATCAGGGCAGCCCTCAGCACAGAGGACTCGGACACAGACCTTCATCGGAGCTCTCATGTGTGTCTGCTCCAGGTCAGGTCTGGGGATAGAGGAGAGCAAAGCAGCTTGCCATTGGAGTTCAATTCTTTGGGATGCAGACAGGATGCTGCCTGTTGGCTCTGGGAAAAGCTGCAACAGGCCTGGCTGAAGCATCAGGGCAGGCTTCCTGGAGGAAGCAGTGATTGGCTGAGGTTTGAAGGCAGAGCAAGGTGTTAATCAGGCAAAGGCAGAGGGAGAGTGTTCCAGGCAGAGGGAACAGCTTCAGCAAAGGCTTGTGGTCAGAGGCAGCTGGAACATTTGAGGCCTGCAAGAGAAGGGAGTGGGGGTGGAGATGGAGTCCTCTCCCCTGTGCTTGCAGAGCCATCCTGAAAGGGCAGAAATCGCAAGTCCCTGTAGGATCTGGGGCCCCAAGGACACCCATCTAAAGCGAAGGCCCACTCTCCTCCCCAACTCCCCCCTCGGTGCCCTGCGGCCCTGACCCACAATCTCCGCAAATTCCGGGCCCTGAGAAAACAAGCCCCTTATCTCAATGTTTGGCTCCAGCCCTTCTGCTGGGAAGTGGGGGAGGGGGGCGGGGAGTAGAGGCCTCTGTGGGAAGGAAGGGATGGACTGCGGCAGCGATGGTGGCTTTAGGGGGAGCAGGGAGAAGGGGGCAAACAGCTGGATCCCCAAGCACCTCCCAGCCATGGCAGAGCCACAGAATGGCGTTCTGTTTGCAGGCACTTAAACCTTCCCACCCACAACCTCCCTGCCAATCCTCACTGCAACCCTGGGGGAGAGGGAATAGGCAGGGGCCTCAGGGCTACTGGAAATGCCACTAAGGTGAAACAGCTGGTCACCAAACTGGGCCTTTCTTCTCCCAGGGCAGAGCTGTTTCCTCAGCAAGTTGGGCTCTTCCTGGGGAAAGTTGACCCCAAAAGAAGTTGCTTCTACCAGGTAGCCGCTTATCACTGGCTATCTTGTCCCAGGGCACCTGGGCCACCCCCTCCTTGCCCAGTGGTGGCTTCTCCAGCGTGAAGGGAGCAGGAAGCTTGGGCTATCGTGGGAGAAGACTGGGGGCCCTCCATGGCCTATTTCTGAGGCCTCATCATGGGGGCTTGCTGTTGTTGAGTTGTTCAGTCATGTCTGACTCTTTGCAACCCCATGGACTGCAGCATGCCAGGCTTCCCTGTCCTTCACCATCTCCCAGAATTTGCTCAAACTCGTGTCCATGGAGTCGGTGATGCATCCAACCATCTCGTCCTCTGTCTCCCTCTTCTCCTCTTGCCCTCAATCTTTCCCAGCCTCAGGGTCTTTTCCAGTGAGTCGGCTCTTCGCATCAGGGCCAAAGTATTGGCGCTTCAGAGACCCTCTGACCAAGACTTGGTCTCAGGGAGTTGTGTTGGCACACGCATGTGTGTGAATGTGTCTACGTATGTATGTGTATATGTGTATGTTTGTGTGTGTATGCATGTTGGCATGCCCACCCAGGTATGTGCAGACTGTGCGCTTACATGTGCACATGTGTGTATACTTGTGGGTATATGTAACTATTAGTATTTGTTATGCATGTGTATAAGCACGCCTCAAGAGATATTGCTGGTTTGCTTCCAGACCACTGCAATTAAGTATCGCAAAGTGTGTCTCATGAATTTTTTGGTTTCCCAATGCACGTAAGTTATGCTTACACTATGCTGTAGTCTTTTAAATGTGCAATAGCATTATGTCTAAAAAAATGTACATACCTTAATAAAAAATATTTTATTGCTAAAATTGCTAACCATCATCTGAACCTTCAATGAGTTGTAATTTTTTTTTTTTTTTGGCTGCACATCATGCGGGATCTTCGTTTCCAATCAGGGACTGAACCTGTAGAAGTTCGGAGTCTTAATTAACCACTGGACCGCCGGGGATGTCCCAGTGAGTTGTAATATTTTTGTTGGTGGACAATTTGAAACATTTCGAGAATTACCCAAATGTGATTCTGAGACACAAAGTGAGTGTGTGCTCTTGGAACAATGGTGCTGGTAGACTTGCTTGATGCAGGGTTGCTGCAAACCTTCAATTTGTTAAAAAAAAGAAAAGAAAAGAAAAAGCAATATCTTCGAAGCTCAATGAAACAAGATGTGCCTGTCTGTAAGTGTGTATGTTTGTGTGTGTGTGTGTGTGTGTGTGTGTGTGGGCATACCAGGTGGCGCTAGTGGTGAAGAACCTACCTGCCACTGTTAGAGACACGGATTTGATCCCTGGGTCTGGAAGATCCCCTGGAGGATGGCATGGCAACCCACTCCAGTATTCTGGCCTGGAGAATCCTGGCAGGCTACAGTCCATAGGGTCTCAAAGACTCGGACACGACTGAAGCAACTTAGCACACACATTTGTATATGCCCGTGTGTGTGTACTGGTGTATACATATGTCTGTTTGTGTGCATGTGTCTGTGTGTGTCCCTGGAGTGTGTGAGATCCAGTCACCCTGTTGGTAAACTAAGGACAGTCCGCAGCTCCCAGACTAGGATGAGAAGCCAGAAGCCCCTGGTGCAGCCAGCATTGCTTGTCCCTCCCTAGCACCCCAGGTCACTGGGCTGATTCTCTTTTCTCCTCCTCAGCCCCCTCCCCAACTGTGAACCTGGAGCCCTGGGGTCCTCTCCTGCCTCCATGCAGACATGCCCACCTCACATCCACTGCCCTAGGTCAGGCCACATTGGGCTCCTGCCCCTGCCCCTGCCCCCACCCCCGGGATGCAGCCTGCACACATCCTCACAGCTGTCTCCCTCATGCTGCAGCAGCCCTTTCTGATTCCCCGAATGCACTGGCCTCACTCTCACCCCGAGATCTTTGCACCTGCCTGCCTTCTGCCCGGAAACCACCCCCCGCCCCCCAGCCAGTGGCACGTGTCTCTGGTTACCACCTTCTCTGTTTTCTTGTCTCAGCTGAGACACTCCTTCTGGGAAGCTCCCTGACCCCCTTCCAGCAGGGAAGGGATGTGGCTCTCCTCTGGAGTGTCAGTAGGGTCCCTTCTCACTGCCGGCAGGTTTGGGGAGAGGCCAGGACACTCTTGGCCTTCAAGGCGTCCCGTGTGCCCAGACCAGTAGCAGCCCCCCAGTACTCCATGATTTCGGTTGAATGGATGATGAGGGGGACAATGGCCCAACTTCCCTGACCCCGGGGACCTCCATGCAATATGGACACTGTCGTGGGAGGCAGGGAGCCCTGTCGGGAGCTCTGACTGTGGAGGGCTGCAGGGCCCCTGTGCAGGGGGAGGCAGGAGTGGGTGAGGAACACATGCTGGGGAAAGCTGGGGGTCTCTGAGGTAGCCCCCTCCTGGCCCACTGGAGGTGTCTGTCCCATGAGCAGGGTGAGGATGGTGGGCAGGTTTTCAGAGGAGTGAGATATGAGTCCTGGGGTGGCTGCCTCTTGAGGCACCCCCAGGCCCCCTGGCTCCCCTCCAGGGACAGGCTCTAGGGTGTGGGCGCACACTTGTGCGCGCGCACACACACACACACACACGCACGTGAGCCAAGTTCAATGTGCATATTCCTGTAACGCTGGGCTGCTGGCAGGAAGTGAGCAGTGGGGAGGCCGCTGCTGGGAACCCGGGGCTGGCCCCGCTGAGATAAAGGGAGGCCGCAGATTGGAGCTGGAGATAGCAGCTGGGGCCTGTAAACAGGTTGGGGAGATGTCCTTCCCATCGCATCCCCTTGGCCTTGAGCCTGCAGGATCCATAGGGCGCTGGCCTGGGTCTAGCTCCACAGCCTGGGAGTCGAAGGAAGGCTCTTTGTACCATCATCCCTGAAGATTGGGCGGGGGGGGCGGTGGCAAGGGACAGAGCACTGGGCCCGGGGGC